GGGCGGGCGCCGGGGCGGCGGCCTGGGGTTGGGTGCGGGCCGCTCCGCCCCTCGGCGCTGGCCCCGGCAGCCTCCAGCCTGCCTTCTCCGGGGCACAGGCGGGGGCCGGCGCCTGCTCCAAGCAGCCGGCTGCGGCCCCCAGCCGCTCGGGCAGCGCGGTGAGCTCAAGGGCTGAATCCTCTAGCTCCATGAGTACTCCTCCGCGGAGCCTGGGGTCGTAGCGCAGGTCCGGGAGCAGTTGTGCTTTTGGCCGTGGCGGGCAGCTGCAGCTATTCTGGTTGCCTAGGGGCAGGTGTCCCTAAATAGGGACATTTAGTTTCTACATGTTTTATCGCTTGAAAGACATGGACCGATGGACTGTGCGCACTGGAGCGCTTTGGAGTTGCTGGGCGTAATGGGATGTGAAGTTCCTGCTAATGGTGTTTCTGCAGTAACCAGAAACAGTGACCTCCCCTCCAGCAGAGAGGAGGCAAAGTTTGTGGGGAGAGAGACGATCGGTTAGTCTAATAAAATACTAGTAAGTAGTGATTGCAGCTTTCTGCTTTGCTGGTGGCTACTGTATTGTAGGTTTCTGACTGTGAGTTTGGGGATTCAGGGACAGGCTGATGCATAAATACTGTGTCACTACATGTACACACTGCTGTTCAAAGAGATGTAGATGGACTGAGAAATAGGGATTTGGATTATGTGGCTGTAACGTGCAGATGTTTGTTGTTTATGTAGAGCAATTCGGGTATACAGGTATCAATCAACTGAATTGTGATTAATGAGTTGTTAAGCTGTTAAGGCATCTTGAATGATCATATTTTTGTAGAAGGCCACCTAAGTAATCTCTGTCCAAAACTAAGGAATGACAAGTTGTCTTAGTAATCTAATGAGGAGCACAAGGTGTTGGGATCCTGTTCAGTGTAAAAAACACACCTGCTGTAAAGGTGTAGGGATAACAGAGCCATACTGAACAAGTTTCAGAAAACTGAGGCCAACAAAGCTGGATTTCTTCTGACCTGCAATAAGGGATTTGTGGCACGGGAAGGGTTTGTCTCACCAAGAAATTACTCGACTACAGCAAGGAAACCTGACCTCAAGGGAGCTTGTGGTAGCTGCCATATTGAAAAAAAAAAATCCGTGCATAAAAAAAAAATTCTTTGAAGTGACTTAATAGGCTTACTTTGCTTGACTGTCATGCCCTCTTGTTTTCTAATGCATGTGATTCTCAGAGCATTAATGCATACTGTATACTAGTATGGTCCCTGACTTGAATTGTAAGTCCATGTTTCATATGTGTATAGAAGTTGTGTCTTGCAGCACCTTGAAGGTTGGTATCTGGATATATGAAGCTAAAAGTAAATATACAAAATTTAAAAAATATAATGAGAATAATATGAATGAATATGGTAATTACATAAGAGGATTTACATTTGAATGTAAACAGTACATATTTTTCTAATTGGTCTAATAAAAATATGATCTCTTCCTATTGCTTTTACCATCTTTGGAGTATTTTATGGACTAAGGACCTGGCCCCTTGCTACTCATGCTCAGACCCACTCAAAGCTTACTCAGTGGAATGCAGTAGTCAACTAATCAAACTTACACAAGCACTAATAAAATTTTTTGTAGTCGTTAGTAACAGTTGGTCTATATTTCCATGGTAATGTTAATTTAGCTGCAAGGTAGTGTAGCTGTCTGAAAAAGGGTATGTGGGACATCCCTCCAAATCTTGGCCATTGGTTCCCGTCTCTTCCTCGTCCTGGCACTAGTGTTCTGTGGGCTGCAAAGACAATCAGTGAATTGAATTGACTGAAACTAATGAACAACAACAACAATCTGATCTAGCTTAAAATATGACTATGCAAATACTCATTCCAACACAAAGGATGAGAGGAGAATGAATTTTAATAATGTGGTGGAAGCTTAGATTATCCCTTCTGGTGATGTCAAATTAAATGGCCTTTAACATTAGAAGGCTTGGCTTTAAAAAGGAATGTCCAGGGGTGGTGATTTTCTTCATGATGTTCTTCAACTAGGCATGTGGCTAACAACTCTTCAGCTTTTTATTTCTATGAATAAATAATCAACACAGCTGGAGTTTTGCTTTATTTAAAAAAAAAAAGGGGGGGGGGAGTTTAGTCCTGTAGTTAGACAAGTAACAAGTTCTGAGAATATGTTTTTTAGTGTCTCTGTTATTCTCTACAAACCTTGTAAGAGTGATTAGTTTGCATAGTTTAGAAATTTATATAACAGCTGTCTTAACAAGACAAAATCGTATACATTTTGAGCAGAGTGCTTGTGTCTTCTGCAGGGAAATATGAGAATTGGCTAGTTCAGTTTCTGGGCTATCTTCCTGAATGATCCATGCTTTATGTTTGAATCTATTGTGGTACTCAGCCAGTCAAGTGAGGAGGTCTGCCTACCTGTCTTATGACATAATCAGATTGTTGTCCTTTTCCTGACCTTCAGCAATTATTTTTCCTTGATAAACCAATGTCTTCTTACATGATGGTTACTAACAACTTTGAAAGACATAAGAATTCAGACAATTTTGTTAAATACCTGGAGTTTCTTCTTTATTTTCAGATTCTTCTGATCAAGTCTCTCTTTGAAATTTGAAGCTTTGTCAGAACCTATTTCCTAAGTGTTAACATCTTTCTCTGTGCACAGTGTAGCTAACAAATTTTATCAAACTTTCTCAAGAAGCTGTTTTTTTGAAGGCGTATGATAATATCTTTGAGTGAAGAGATAGGAATAGCATTTAAGGTTTTTCCAATGCTCTTAGAACTCATTTATTTACCTTTTTGAAAAGAAGAGGTAAAGATTTTAGTACTGAAGTTCAGATATTCCCCTCCCCCCCCCCCCCCTGGTCTGAGAAGAAAAAGCTGCAAACTTTGTTCTAGCTTGAAGTATAGAAGAAAAGCAGGAACTCAGCTGCTTGTTTTATGCTAGAAGGGCAGGTTTGTATTTACATTGCAGAAAAAGCTTAAAGTATTGCATCGAATGACCCTTTTTTTCTTTGTTATCGGCATGGAATGATGAATAAGTGTACCTTGAAGGCAAAATATCAGTCTAAAGAATTGTTCTGAAGTTATGGCAGCAAAACAAAATTATGGAGCTTACTCCTACTATTCACTAGCTCTGTTGAACAGGTGTGTGGAAGTTGCTCTGCAAGCAGTGTTGTGAGTTTTTACATACGTTCTTAAAATTTTACAACCTTTCTTTTCTGGGAAATAAGCATTCTGTTGTGTAAGGTGGTTTTCATGAGTAGTTCAAAACTGTTTTTAAATTTCCTGTAGAAGGACAATCTAATACGTAGTAAAGCAATGTCTAAACAAATGTGATATCACTTAGGTACTTCTCAGTAACTGTCCCATTCATGGTATTCAGTCATTCTGCCTTTCATTAGCCTTTCTCAATTGCCTTGAATAATCTGGAATATTTATTAACGTGTGTGCTCTGTTGTGGACTGTTCTGATTTTAGTTATGTGACTGTTGAAATCTTCCCCTGAAGCTCAGAGGAAGCTTCTCCACATGCAGCAATTCACTTTGAAAATAGGAAAATAAAGGTACAGTGATTCAGAGAGAAGATGCAGTTTTTCAAGGCAGTTTTAAAATGAACACTCTTGCCCCTAGATATCTCAGCAGGAGGACTTGCAAGCATGGAAGCTTTTTTTCCACCTCCCTCTTCTCCCCCAGGTTGTTTCCAGAAATCTAACCTCCGTGTCAATAAGTCTAATAATGAGAGTTCTAACGTTGAACACTATTTTAGTGCCACTGCTTGATTCTGTCAGAGATTATTTCTGTGTGAGTAACTAAAGACTAATTTAAAAATGGCTTTGATATTTTGCTAAATAAATCTGCAAGAACGTCTGCTTTTTGTGTAGTAGATGCTTCCAAATGATGCCAAATATTATGTAAATTTATCTATTGCATGCTGGCTTCATTTAGTTCAGGAAATTAAAAAAAACCCTAAATTGCTTGTCATATGAACACTGAAATGCTTATCTTCTAACAGATTCTTTGTGCTGCAAACCCACGGCCAATGTATTTCCTATAAACTCTAACTTGTAACTTTCCTTGTTATATCTTTCTAGGCTTTGTAGATCAGGTATGGCAGAATAAGTATATCACCTAATGCATATAAATAAAATTTTCATATATTTCAGTAATATTTTTCTGAGCTCTTGATCGAAAAAGTATTTTTGTATGCTTTGTATAGCAAAGTTAATATTGTTTGAAAGTTTAATTTACAAAAGGTGCAATTACCAGTTTTCAGGTGGGACTACTAAAATAGTTCACATAATGTCTGCATAATGCTAGAGTTTTGTATTATAGGTCCCTTATTACACAGGGGTGCTTTTGGCTGGCAGTTTTTAGTCCAAGTTGGAGCAGTTCCTTGCCTGCTGAGATTTTTGCTGCTTCTGTACTAGCAGAGCAGCATTCTGTGTTGAACGGAATATTACCCTACCAGTTCTCTTCATGTAAAAAGGTTAAGTAAGTGATGAGCTGGGAAAAAATGGATGGAACCTCCTGACAGTGGAGAATTTCTTGTTCTGGAGAAATTAATGTCAATGCTCCTTTGCACTGGAAAGGGGCAGAAGTCCTTGAACTTGTCTGTGGTCCATTTGGTGATAAGGCAGGGATGAATTTGCTGTTCATTAAAAGTCTGGCCGTTGTAGTCACTGAAAGCTGACTATATTTACTAGTAAGCAGAAAGGCTCCTTCTTATTCTCTGATATTTATGTTTACATTTTATTATAAAAAATTGCTAATAAAAATCAGATTTGATTTTTGTTAGATCAGTTCTTGTTTGTATGATCATTTCTAGAGCACTGTATGATTTTACAAGAGTCTTGCAGTAAGGAATGTCTTGGGAATTTTAAGACTTGAACTGAGTGGTACTTTGTTTTCTTGAGAACACCTTTCAGGAATTTGGAAGCAGTCTAATATATGAGTCTTCTGTCTCAAACAGTGATCCTCTAAAAAACCAAACTGTGTTTAAACAGTTTGAATTCTTCTTAATTTTTTTTTCCTTCCCTCTTAAAGGTGCATTTGAACTTCTTACTGTTTCTCCATCGGCTAGCAGAAGAAGCCAGGATAAATGCTTTTGAGAGCAAAAGTAAAATAATTAAACCTGAGCACACTATAGCTGCAGCAAAGGTAATAAAGCATTTTTAACATTTTTCTTTTTTGTTTAATGTAAAATGTATTATGACAGCATATACAAAAGTTTTCAGTGTTAGTGTTGATATGTTTTTATTTATAATCCAAAACCTGCGGAAATGTAATGTTCTTTAATCCATCATTGGCATAATTCACTGTTACCAAGACATCAAATTAACTCTCCTTGCCCTATTAAATATAGCCCTATTGTTCTTGATTGTTCCCTGTTTAAATTCATAGTTTCAATATGTGGGTAAGTACACAGTAGTCTACCGGCAAGCATCCATGGGCTGAAAGCCCGGGGAACAGGAGCAAATTCCAAAGTTGGAGGATCTTTATTTCAAATGATACTATATCAAGGAAGCATGCTGTCTTAACTTCAGTAATATAATTGAAGCTCTATGGAACAAGTGAGAAATAGTTCAAAGAGGTTCAAATATCTTACACCTTCAGTTCTTACCTGCTTAGTCTGAAAGATGTTTGAAGTGGATTCTTGTAGCATTGTGTGGATATCTTTTGAACAAACAGATACTTTGTGTGATGATGTGTTCGGCAAGGGAAGAACTAAGGGAGAATTAAACTGTGGATTGCTATATGGGTAGTTCAGCATAACAAAAATTGCTGTATGAATATCTGTGAAGGAGGAATTGGCTGCATTACAGAGCATGGTAAGTTTTGTGTACATGCAAAAGAAGAGAGAGAGGAAGGTGTTACGCAGCTTTCTCTCTCTAGAAAGAATTAGAGTAGCGTCAAAGTATGACTGAAAACCTTTTGTATTCTGTAGCTCATTTCACTCGCTAGGATATGTCTGCTTTACCTAGTCTCTTTAATTTGTTGAGTTATCTGTTCAACTACCTGCTGCTGCTGGGCAAATTGAAAGAACAAAACTCAGTGTTTTCTGATATTTGGGTCCTGTGGCTTCTGTTTATCTTCAGTATTTTTTTTTTCCTCTGGTGAAATGTTTAGTTTGATACTTTCTATTACTATAGTAACAGAAATATATACAGGATGTGTAGGGTAGCCAAGTGAATGTTACAGTTGGAATCTTACGCATTTGTAATTTCTTTTTAACTACAATCTTAACATTATTTGAACATTTTTGTGCTCCATTTATTTTTTTTAAGATGAGAAGAAAGGAAAAACTGCCTGTATTTTAATAATGTTAACACTTAAATGGTCCCACTTGGGCTTTGAAGTTCATTTTTCAACTTAAACTCCAAACCAAAAAATGTCCTTCCAAGGGTCTGGGCAGTCTTGATACACAAAGAAATAAGGCATTACAAACAAAAATTGAGCATAGTAGCTGTATAATTGCAAATCTTACTTCTTTCTTTTTGTCTAGGCCTAATGGGGTAAGAGCTTCAAGGAATCTGCTGAGGGCTTGAGAGCACTATTGCCATTCCTCAGCATTCATTTTTAAAATAATCCTTTTATTTTACAGAATTCTTGGTTATGAATGTTCCTATTTAAAAAAAAATACTTTCTGATATGGCATTTTTCTGTATGCTTTTGCATTATTTCTAACCTTTTCCCTAGACTTTTACCCTTGGTGACTCTACTTTTGGAAATAGATTGTTTGGCTAGGTGAACCTTTTGTCTGAGTAGCCTAGCGTTTTGGATCTCTTACTGCTACCTGGATTGTACAGATAAAAGCAGTGATAAATATCCTTTTTTCTTTTTGCAGGTTATTTTAAAGAAAAGCAGAGGCTAGAAAACAGACCACTGGAATCTCAAAGCATGTTCTTCTGTGTTTTCTTACTAACATGAGATCCTGTGAGCCAGCTTTCGCACTTGTGGAAGTATTTAGTTTTATTGATGTCTATCTCCTGACTCTTGAGTATTTTGCTGTTTCTTTAAAAAAAAAAATCTTACAATGTATATTTTCATACACTTCATGCATAATTTTAAAATGCGTGTCACTTGTCATTTAAGATTTTTGATGTACCTTATTTCTTCCATAATAATGGAGAAATGCCTATACCATAGTCACTCTTCAGGTACGATGTGTCATTTATTATTAGACATGTGAAACTTAAAGGAGAACAGTAATAAAAATGCAAGTTTCACTAAATCCATTATAGATTATGCAGTTCAAAGCAGATTTACTAGCTAAAGAAAATCTTGGCTTTCAAAACAATCACTGTAGAAACTAGTGTATTAAATATCTTGGCTTCAATGTATTTATAAATGTCTTAATATTTTTAAAATGACTTTGAAAAGTAGGCTAAAACTTCTGTGTTCTGGGGAAAGAATACATATTTTGTATTTCTAAATCATGCTCTGAACTGTCAAGCTGGCCTGTTGTTTGATGTGGTGTATGAGACAAGTTGGTGGTCTCTAATTCAGTTGGTGTGGACAGATGCATGTTATGGAAAAGAAAAGTTCTGGCACAGCTGATGTTTTTGAAGTTAGATCCTGTACAAATAGTGAAGATAAGTTCGCATGAGTGCCAGGCTACTTCCTCCCCCCTTTTGAGTGTCATCCTAACTTGTCAGAAGTCTGGAAATGTACATTATATAAAAATACCTTTAAACATCATATTCTGTTCCTAACCTGGTATTTTTAAACAGTTGCTGAACACTTTGCTTAATAGTTTTTTTAATAAAGATATAGTTGAATCTCACAGTTTGAGCTGATAATACAGTTTTGTGGAATATGTGGTAGCTGATCCTTCATATGCACAGTGAGCTATTCTTAAAATAAAGAATTTTTAAAAACATTATGTATTGAGTAACCTAACTTTGTTTAACACATTACTGAGTATCTTCTAGAAACTCAGCAAAAAAGAATTTAATTTTATAAATAAAATTTAATTTTATAAATAAAATTAAATAAATAAATGACAGAATTTCAAATTTCATATCATGTCCATGTACTTTTTAAAATCCTGTACAACCTGTGAAAAGTCATCCTTTCATAGTATGCAGAAAGGAGGATGATTCTTCTGCTTTATTTAACTCATAGGGTTTAGTTCAGTCTGCTTCTTGTAGGGTTGACTAGATTCCTTATTCTGCCTTTTCTTCTCTTACTCCCTTGGAACCCACAAAGAAAGCTGAGAACATACATGTGTAGAGGATATTTGGACTTAACAATCTGAATTGCATTCTCAGGAATAAGGGAGATCTGACTAGGTATTTATGTTTTTCTTTGTAATTACTGTCCGTGATTTAACAATTTTATTGCAACACTACATTTTCCTATGTTAGAAAGGTTTTCTCTTAATTTTTCCCTGAAATATTTTCTTATAGTCTTGTATAACCACATACCTTTCCTCATTGTACAGTTGTTTGAGTACTGTAGCTTCTTTTGGAACTTGTTTTGATGTTCACTTTAACTTTTTCTTTTTCGATTTGCCTAGGAGCAAGATCCACTCTGAGCTTAGTGGAATGTTTTCATTCTCATGTAATAGACGGATGATCAGCTACCATTGGGGAAGGGAGGCAAGGAAGGGTTAAAACCGGCCACAAGTGTACTTTTAATATTTTATGCAGAGTTTTTGGCCTATATTCACGGTTAAGAAGGTGCCTTTTTTTTATAGGAGAGGGACTTTTTTCTATAAGCCCTGAGAAGTTTGAGTCAGAATGTGTCCTGTCATTAGATTGCCCGTACTTTGTGAACATTTCATAACAGCTGAAGCAGGCAGGTATTCAGAAGACCTGAATAGCTTGGCAGGTATTCAGGTTTCTCTCCTAAACTTTAAATAAATGCTTACTGGAAATTAGTGTGGTTGATGTAGTGTGGTTAAGAATTCAGAAATATACAATGCTATTACGTTTTTCTAGTATCTTCTTGAATGTTCACCGTAAGGTTAATTATATTCATATTTGGCAGGTCTTCTGTACTCCTTCGTGTATATACATAAAGTCTCTTCTCTATCCAGTACTCCTTACTGGATTTTTAAAATCAAAACTTAGAGCTTTAGAGTCTTGTCTAAATACCCACAAACACTTCCAATTAATATAACCTTGGAGGATATACTAATAATCTGTTTTCTGTTATTGAATGTCTCTTTAATGACAAAACATCAAAGCATGTAGTTCTAGAAAATGTCTTTCTAAACTAGACCTGTGGTAGAAGGCCTAATGAAGTTGGGTACTCTTATTTGAACTCCTGTGTTGATTCTCTGCCGTTAAGAGGAAAAAGGCAAGGATTATTGAGGGAAGAGTCACGCTGATGCATTAATAAGGTGTCTCTTCTACTCAACTGTTTTCATGAAACCTTGAGAAATTTAGCGTTCAGAAACCATTGAGACTATTGACTCACTGTTGAATTTCCTCTGGTTTTAAGGGTAAGATTCAAGAGATTTTGGGAAGGAGAGGTGCTCAGACAATACAGTTATGACTCTTCAGTTCCTCAGGAAAGCAGGATAGAAGGCCTAAAAAATTAAAGCCACACTAAGACATTATCCAGTTTTTCCATTCTCTTTCTTCTCTTTGCAGCTTTCCCAGTGTTCTTCTGTTTCACGTCCTACCCCGCCCTTTCACTATGACCATCAATGAAAGAGGGAAAAGTCAAAATGAAGAAATAGAAGAATTTGGCAAAAGTACTTCTATTGGCCCTTGTCTTGGTTTTCAGCTTTTCGTGTAGCTCATGTTAGTCCCTGGGCCAGTGAGTGGTATCACAAATGATTAAGGCACAAAAGAAAAAGAAAAATGTTTATTGATCAGCAGGTGACTATGGGGGAAGGGAGTGTTTTGCCTTGTGGGGTGGTGCTGCTGCTGATTTATTTCATCTCCTGTATGGAGTGACTGATGAAAGAGGATCTGCTGTTTGCCATCTTGAGTACGCCTTCTTGTGAGGAATATGCACTATTCTAGCTCTCACGGTCACATCATTTTGATTGCAAGATAAGCGAAGAGAGAAGATAGTTGTGAAAGCTTGAAAACTAGATTCATGCATACTTCTGTTTTAATTTGTAGGGCATGTAAGTTTAATACTTTGAGTGGTATAAATCACCTGATTATTAGGTTTAAAACTATTTTTGAAAAGTGTGACTATGAAGAATGGTATAGGAGTGAAGGTTAGATCCATGGAGAGTTCTAGCTGTTTAACTCCTGATGGAGTCAACAGGAATATAAGAACTTGTATACTTTTGTGGGTCAGGGCCCAAATAATCACTGTTCTATTTAAAGTTATGTTGGATCTGTAAGTCTGCTGTTTTGATTCAGAAAATCAACACAGGTGGTAGAGAGGACATTTATGCCTTGGATTTTCATTGTGCTTGTATGTGGAAGAGTGCAAGGTTGCTAAAAAAGAATCTTAAGTTGCATAATACAAATAGTAAATATCTTCTGGGTATAGTGATACAGTAAAGGAAAAAAATTCAGAAATATGTATGCTGTAATAGGAAAATTCTTTTTCTAGCCATAAGGTGGGGATAGAGCAAAAACTGTCTTTTCTTCCCTGCAGTAACTTCCCGTTAGAGAAAATATTTGGTTTATTCCTACCAAAAATTATACTATAGGTTGTGACATTTCCAGATATTTTTTTGAAGACTACCAAGCCAGCACTGCTGACATGTGTAGGGCAATTAATGTTTAAAAAAAATTCCCATTCACATCAAAAAAGGGTGTTCCGCTGATCCGTGCTGAGAGGGTAAAAGTTAGATATGTGAGGCTTTGATGGATCTTGAGGATTTTTCCTTCTTCAAAGTTCAATGTTTCAGCATCAGATAGTTTTCTTAGTTATACGTCTATAGTTATTTGTACAACATAGCCTCGTTTTCAGAAACTGGTATGTTCTATGGGCAGTTTTATGCAGGAGGTTTTTATGCAGGACATTGCTCATATAGCAACCTTAACTATAAAACATATAGCTCGTGTTGGTTGAATTGCTGACTCAGCATTCCATTAGTCTTTTATCAGCTTACAACAACTAATGATAGGGCATTGTAACTCCTAAATACATAGGGTTTTGAGGTGACTTATGATTATAAGTATATATTTAGAAGGTGTGACATATTTCAAGTAAAAGTGCTGGTTACAGTAAAACAAAATTCCTTTTTCCAGAGCTGTAAACTGTATGTCAAATTTAAGTTCTTCAGACTGTTTCAAAGTTCTGTGTGTCGTCGTTTTTTAGTTCAATGTACTATGTATTTGTACTGGAATATAGATTCCTTGATATGTTTTAATGGTACTGCACTTGTAGCTGCTGTGGTAGCCTACTTGGATATGATAAAAGAGCATAATAAAACAAATTTCTTACATGTCTGAGTCGTTTCAGTTCTAGGGTGAGAAGATGCTGACAGTGTTTTTGTTGTGCTAAATACAGAATTGCAACTTTTTGAGGAAGTTGGTGAAGAGCCTTCCCACCTGACAGCTCGTGGTTCTGCAGAGGTAGTCAGTTGGAATTCATTCATTTACTGTTTGGTGAACAATGTTGGGGGTATGCCAGTTTCTTTGCAGTCCATGTTCATCAAATTCATACGGGCTTTGGTACACAATGTTCTCCTGTGGGCTGGGTTATTAATGTTATCCCCACCAAACTGCTGAAAGATCTTTTCAGGTCATTTGATACCTGTAAGATCAAATTTCTTACCGAGAAGGTCACTTTCCTGGGGGAATGAATTCAGTGCGTGGAGAACTTGGTAGAGCGTAGAAGAATGCCTAAACAGCCCTAAAATTACTTCTGGTTTACATAGGCAATGTAGACACAGCCTTACTACTGGGTAGTAATGTGATTGCAGCAGTTAAATAAAACCAAGAGCACTTCCTACAGGAATGGCTTAACCTCCTACCACTAGGTCAGGCTCTACAGAAACAGACTGCTATCTTGTTTCCAAAGTGTGTAGAAAGCACAGAAAGAGATATATTTTGGCAATTGAACAGTTCCTGAATCAAAAATTACAAAGGGCAAACACTTCCAAATAAATGTAATAAGGAATAGGGCTGGATTAGCTGGAGATTCAGATCCCTTATATCAGGTTTAAATTGGTCTAATTGTATCTATGCTAACCTCCAAAATTGGCAGCCTAATGTGAATTTTTTCACTTGAAGTTGTTTAACTGCAGCAGGTAAGTACCCACACAGATTAGATTATATAACTGAAATCAGTTTTAACGAGGTTTGCGCAAGTTTTATAAATAAACCAGATAAAGGAAAACATTTCAGTAACATGTAAGCCAGTTTTTAAAATTCTGTTGCATAGCTGAAATCTTCTTAGTACAAGCACGTCTCTGGTCCCAGCTGTTGGAGGGTACTCGCAGGGTAAAAGCTAACGTTAACATACGGATGGTGGGTTACATTTAAACATGTTTAAATTCTTTATTATTTAGTTTGTTTTCACTCTTCAGAGAAAACTGTGTGTACAATGCTGTTTCCAAAATTGGTCAGCTGTTTAAATATCACTGATTTCTGAAGGTTGGTTAGCAATTAAAAATGAGTTACAGACAGACCCTAATTTAAAAAAAGAGAGGGGGGAGCAGTAAGGAAAAGGGAAAGGTAAGCGCACAACTTAGTAAATGATTGTCTGGCCAACCTTAACTGTGTTTCTGTAGTTTCACAATTTGTTTTTCCCATTGAAGTTTAACTGTGGGTTCCTGCACTTTCCAAATTTAATGGGTTGGGTTTTGGG